ACCCTTCTCCTGACCGACAGACAATAGTTTATGTCTATCCCAAAGATAGCAATCATCCACTGCAATAACCACAAGGCATGGGGTAGCTAAGGCCCTACAGAGAAAGAGGGGGGAAAGAACCATACAGGACAAGGCTTTTGAGACGGCAACCTAACAACACAATCAGGTAAGCATACGCACCACGTAAAAGTCCAAGCCATAGATTCCAATGCTGGGATCGTATTTAATGCCCAGATCAATGTGCTCCTGGATTCCAAAACCAAAGTTGCCAGTGTCTGAGAAGTTGTTCTTCCTCAATTCATATTCTCGCACCTGAAATATTCACATCAAATATTCATGTTTAGTTTTCCCCCTTCCAAATGCTGGGTTAGCACCAGATCGCTAGGAGAACCGCTCACCTTCAACCCCTTCTCCAGGATCTCCTCAGCTTTGGCTCCACGTACAGTGCAGTGAACAGCAATCTTCTCATTTCTCCTGATCCCAAAAGATCTAACAGTGTATCGAGCTGCAGAAAAAAGCCAGAATCAGCTTGTCTGAAGTGATAGTGACACAGTTACAGTGTGGTGCATTTTTTAAAATCCCACTCAGCAATTCATCAAAATTCACTAGGCAGCTAACAAAAACCAGATTCAAGGGAACTAAAAACATGTGGCAAAAAGTCCACCCCAAAAACCATCTGGGATGGCTTCCATACACACGATAGTCTGCACTTTCTTTTAAACCCCCCCCCCCCCTAAGACTTAGAGTGGATCATTCCACAACACTTCAGAAGAGACCAGGGAGCTATTTTTCAGGGGATGGGTGTGAGGGGCCAGTCCCAAACCAAACCAAAACGCAGTTTTGTGTCCCTTGGTTATTTTTTTTTTTAAAAAAAGACTTAGAAATAGGTCTCTTTTTTAAAAAAAGTTTCTAGCCTTCTTGAAGTCTGAAAATAAGACAATTATGAATCAAAGTGTATAGCTCTAGAAGTTGGCAACACTGCAAGAAGAATAAGGAATCCACAGGACAGAGAGGTCTGAAATACAAGTCTAGACAATGAGCATCATGTTTACACACACTTATCACTAGTCCAGCCCAATCTGCAATCCCCCTGGAATCATCATCTTTCCTTCTGCTTGGACTACAGATGTCATATTTAAGATAACCTTAGAATGGATTTTAAAACTGTCACCTGACATGCCACACAGGGGCAAGCCCTTGTATTTCTCTTCCAGCCAAACAAATTCCAGGGCCTTCGCTGGAAATGCTTCAATGATGGCCTCCTTCACAAGTTTTACCTTTTGAGAAGACAGGAGTCTGGCCCGTGAGCTGCTCCAGCACTTTGGCTGCTCGGGTGAGCCTGTCTCCACTCTCCCCAACGCAGATGTTCAGGCAGAGTTTGCGGATGCGCAGCTCCCGCATGGGGTTCTCCTTTTCACCCTGATCTTGTTGCTGTGCAAGAATGGAAAGAGAATGCACTGCTAAAAACCAAGGAGGCCTAACCCTGTGCCCAAAATATGCGGCACAACAGGAAGAACCAATATGTTAAAGGACAGTGTGGATTATGGGACAAACTGCCATGGCATAGCCAAGTACTCATTTTCAACTCGTGTTATGAATTCACGATGAAACCCTCTAAATCTTAAAAGAAGGTCGTAGATGTCTATGCAACCACCAGGACCATTTCTCAACACTGAGGAAGCTCAAATTTTCACTCACTCACTCCCAAAACCCTGCTGTTTTACTACAGTTTATGTCTGTATTTATTTATTTACTTAATTTACAACCTTCCTTTCTCCCCAATGGAGGCCTAAGATGGCTTACATTGGTCTCTCCTCTGTTTTACTGTCACAAAAACTATCTGGAAGAAGTTAAGCTGTAAGTATGTGACTGACCCAAGTCAGCCAACTTCCATGGCAGAATGGGGATTTGAACCTGGGCCTCCCAGATATTAGTCCAACATTAACCACTACACCACACTGCCTGTTTTCACTACAGCTTCCATACTCCCCATTCTGTCAGCTCAGCCCACTCCTAAACCTGCCACTCCTAACCCCCACAACTTATCACTGTAGTAGATGCCAGTCCTTAACATAGACTCTTTCAATATTCCACCCCAAAGCTTTTCCTTCTTCCTTTTGTACACACCACCCCTTCTAAAGTCTGCCAATACTCTATCATCAATACCTATATTACAAGGCTTGACAAGTCCCAGGTGCCAGTCCATTATTGTGCCTAGAAACTTCACTGTGGCAGCTAGAATTTTTTTGTACTAGCAATAATTACAAACTATGATAAAACATAACCCTGAAGGCTAAAATATGAATCTGGCTCCTAAATTTCTGTGCTGGCTTCTAGAGCCAAAGGAAATTTGTCAATCCCTGCTGTATCAGCACTAACACTGCAAGGGTAGGTGCCTAAGTATGCAGACCTAACACTTGAATTAAATACAATACAGGCAGGCTAAAAAAATATAACCAGTTGACTTTGCATCCTCTTGGTTAAACCAGGCCCCTGTTAAACATGCAATGTTGGTGCACAAGCACTACCTGCTCTACGCATCTCTAGTGCAACAATGGTGCATACAGAGTGGCCTGCACATGTAATGGCCCAGGTTAAACACAACACTGGGCATATTCAGAGTCAGCTGGATAAATTACTCTATCCCTCTGGCATTATATTTCAGGCCTATCAGACACAAAGTGGGTGGCATACCTGATAAAGAGTTCTCAAGACTGATTTATACATGGAGAATGAAGCAGGAATAAGGTGGCATAGCTTTAGAGTGCAGGTAGAACGCCACATTTTGGAATGCTCTCCTCTGCTCCCTGCAAACAGAAATCAAGCACAACAAGCAAAGGGAAGGAGCGGATGCTTACTCTTCCTGCTGTGCTCAGTTAGCGTGGGGGGGGGGGGGGGGGATGCAAAGTCAACTGGTTATATTTTTTTCTCGTATATACAAGAATGCACGTGCCCTTCCATCAAATATGTGCCTAGGATGTGTCATCCCTTTCTATACTCCTCACACAGAAAACCAGATGCCAGGGAGAAGGTTTCTAACTTAGTCTTCCCCTGACATGTCAGTTTTCTACAGTTTTTTAATGGCAATTTTCAACCCTGAGATCCCCCACCCCCCGCCACAGGGCAAAAGATACATCCCAGACACAGGCAGTCATCATCTCAAGGGGAAACAGACCCAGAGTATTACATAAGTGTGGTTTTTCAGAGGTCAAAAACGGGGAGAGCATCACGAGTTAGATTTGTTCAGGACGGGGGGGGGTGACAAGTAGGGACCACCCAGACTGACAGCTTTGGTAAAAAAAATCCAGGGCTCTTGATTTTGGATAAAAAGACAATGGGATGTGTGTGACATGACAGATGTGTGTGACATGAGGTGGAGACAGCACATTATAGAACTCTAGGGGCACTAGGTAAAGTTGATAGGCAAACAGATTCAGGACAAAAAAAAATTAAGTGCCTTCCTTCCCCCCTCAAAGAGCAAGTAAATTGTGGGATTCACTGCCACTGGAGATAGTGATGGCTTTAAAAGAGGATTAGACCACTTCATGGGGGGGAAAGTCCATCAATGGCTATCCATCAAGATGAACTAAAACAAGTTTCCACATCCAAAAAAATCCACCAACGAATAGCAGTACTAGGAGGCAACATCGGGGGAGGCCTTGGCCATTGGCCTCCCTGTTCCGTTGGTCGACTCACCACAACAACTAGTTGACTACTGAGTGAAACGGGATGCTAAACGAGACGGCCTACTACTTTGATCCAGCAGGGTTCTCATTTAATTTTTTAAACCTAAAAAAGGGGGGGGGAGGACATGGGGAAGAAACCCTCATTTTCTTTTTTAAAAATCCCCCAAAAAGCCGGGAGAAAAGAAGGGCTGAGGCCTTCCTCTAGGAAACGGAGGTTTGCCGGTGAACCAGCCTGGAATACGAGCTGGTCCCTCCGACATTATCTACGGCTCCCGGGCCCTCGAAAAACTTGCACCGCCTCCCATAACCGCCAGCGGGAGACCCCTCGATCCTTCCCCGAGTCGTCGCAACCAAAGCTTCGCCAGAAGAACCCGAGCCTGGGACGATGGAGACCGATTCAATACGACCCCCGCCGCATCTCCACAAACCCCAGTTACTCACCGCCATCTTGGAGGCGTGGAAGAGACCAAGAAAGACGCGGAAGAGGATCTTGTGAGGGAGGTCGCTTCCGGCATACCATAGAGACGAGGAGGTCAGGCAAGGGAATCTGGCGGTTCCTTCAAGGGGAGCTTGGGGACCCTCTAGAGGCAGGAAGGAGGAGTTGCTCATGGCTGCAATACCATGCGGAGATTGGATAGGACAGTGGCGTACCAAAGGGGTGCGGTGCGGCGCGGCCCGCCTCCAGTGCAACCTTAGGATGTCAGCTGGAGGGCCCTTCAAGCCGTCCCCATGCCGAGTCCGGCCGAACGCCTTCCTTTTATTTTTAAGCTGCAGTTCTGGCTGCAGCCACGAGGGGGGCAGGGAATCTCAGCACAACAAAAAGCCTTCTAAGATTCGCTAGATTCTTGTTCTTCAGCCGCAGTCGAGTCTGACTCTTGGCGACCCCATGGACCACATCACGCCAGGCCCTCCTGTCTTCCCTCGTGCTCTGGAGTTTGCTTAATTTCATGTTCGTTGCATCGAGAACACTGTCTAGCCATCTCATCCCTTCTTCTTTGACCTTCAGTCTTTCCCAGCATCAGGGTCTTCTCCAGCGAGAGCTCCCTTCTCATTTGGGGGCCAAAGTATTTGAGCTTCAGCTTCAGTAAACTGTTGGAAAGACTTACCAAGGCGCGTACGAGCATGGGAGCTAGGAATGCCAATTGACTTCCATGGGCTACATTGAAATACATTACAGCTCAAGAAGAGTTGCAAAGAAAATGTGGAATGGATTTTCTATTAAGGTCTCTGGTCCAAAATACTCTGCTCTGGGACTGGAAAGACATCAAAGGCTCCTAAGTAAGCTCAATAGTCATAGGTTAAAAGGACAAGTCCTTTTGTGGATCAAAAACTAGCTAATTAATAGGAAACAGAGAGTATAAATGGGCAATTTTCTCAGTGGAGGGTGGTAAGCAGTGGGGTACCGCGGGGCTCAGTACTGGGTCCGATGCTTTTTAACTTATTAATGATTTGGAGTTGGGAGTAAGCAGTGAAGTGACTAAATTTGCAGATGACATGAAGTTGTTCAGGGTGGTGAGAACCAGTGAGGATTGTGAGGCACTCCAAAGGGATCTGTCGAGAATGGGTGAGTGGGCGTTAACGTGGTTAATGGGGTTCAATGTGGCCAAGTTCTAATGTCCTGGCCCCACTGCTGGTCCTGGACTGGAAAAAGGGGGGGGGGAACTCAACCCAAGATAAGACTGCGAACCAAAGGGCTAAGCTAACAAAGTATATTATAAAAATACAAATATTTATTGGGGTGTACACGTTAAAACATATACTGATAAAAATCTTTATCTAAGTATCAGACTTATAAAAACTTATCAAATACTAATACATGTGATGGGTAAACACTTTCCTACTGACGACCAAACGCGTTTCGGCCCCTAAGGGCCTTCCTTAGTGGTCACAATTATCATTATAGTATAGACACACATTCATAGACCTGTATACAAGATCTTTAGTACTCATTTATTAAAAACAGATGTTGTTTCCTTGTATATTTGTAATTGTATTACTGGTATTAGTGATGGGCCATAGGTATAGCCATATCAATTCCACCAATTATTCTGGTAACAGAGATTTCATAGGTCTGAATGTGTGTCCCTCCATCAAGGTAAAGATTCTGCTGGACCTCCTGATGGCACCTGGTGTTTATGGCCACTGTGTGACAGAATGTTGGACTGGATGGGCCATTGGCCTGATCCAGCATTGACTTCTCTTATGTTCTTAACGGAGCCAGCATCAGCCTGAGAGGTGCTCAGTAATTGCCAGCCTGCAGGTCATTTTTCTCCATTACTGTAGCCTTTCTCCTTGCACACAGTTCAGCCAGTTCAGCGAAGCAGGAGTTAGGGTGTTGCAGCAAGATAAAACAACATTTCCCTCTATGAATTTCTCTCTCTTTTCCACACCTTTCTAATTCGTTTCTCTCTCCATTAACCTAATTTTTCTGTGTCACTCCTCCCCTTTATTTTTATTTTTTGGTCTCAAGACCTCATCCCTATCCTGCTTGGCAAAGAAAGTACGTAGAAGTAGTATAGTAGCAAACCTTTGATAATATTATGAACAGAAGGCGTGGAAGAGTTAATATTTCCCCATGAGCTTATAAAGTAGTAAAAGGATGCCCCCCCCCCCCTCCACTCTTTACATGCATGATAATGGAACATTAATCTGTTTTAGTGGTTATACATGTGGAACAAAAGTTACAACTCCCAGTTCAGGCACTGGATTGTTGATCATTATTGTGCTGGTGGAAGATATGATAGCTCTTTGTAAAGGCTACTTTCTATATGACAAATGATGTAATTTTTAAGATATCATTAAAATTAGATTTATAATAAACTAGGAATAAGGCCTGTTGTGGAAATAAATATAACGAGCTCTAGAAAGAGGCTCTGGGAGAGTGCCAAGGCCTTTGGCACTCAGTGTCAATGTGCTGTGGCGACCTCAGCAGGGTATAATGACACAGAGTCCACCATTTCTACAGAGGAACTGATCTCTGCTACTTGAAGAGCAGTTGTAATTTTCAGTGATCTCCATTCCTCACCTGGAGATTGGCAACAATTGTTACCCAGGAAGAAATGGCTGGTTTGGAGGGTGGAGTCTATGGCATTGTATCTATCTGAGGTCCCACCCCCCTCATACCTCATCCTCTCAGGCTCCACCCCTCAAATCTCCACAAATGTCCCAACCTGGAGTTGGCAACCCTATCTCGTTCCCAGCCAAGCATCAACCTGCCATTGTCTGCACCTCTGATTTCAGCTTTGCATCTCCTCCCCCCTCCCTCCTGGAGATCAGTTGTAATTCTGAGTGATTTCCACCCCTCTCCTGAGATTGGCAACAGTGGTTCCCCAGAAGGGAATGGCTGGTTGGGAGGGTGAAGTCTATGGCATTGTACCTGTCTGAGGTCTCACCCTCCTCAAACCTCACCCTCTCCAGGTTCCA